TATTAGGGACCATGAACTCTGTAAAAGTTATAGAAGACTGCAGTGAAAACTCAGTTACAAAAATTAAAATGACAGTCTTCTGTTTTTGATGTTTGTCCAAACAGGATATATAGTTGAATAAAAGGGTCTAGGGGGTAAAAAAGGGGTTACGTAGTTAAATGTACAAACTAAACGATTAAACTCTGAGAACAACAAATGAGCGGTTTTGTGAGGCCTAGCTCTCAACAGTCTAATAGAATAACAAAAGCACAAACAACAAAACACAAAACTAACCTCAAAATTAAAACGTCTGTTCGTCAAAAGACCTCACCGAAAAAGTGAAAAACCAAGCTACTGACTGGAAGAGCACCTTCGGCAACCTTATCTCAGATAAGAATCTAATAGCGTAAATACATCTGGTAACTAAAATGCAGAATCTAATCATGAAAATGCTGTTAACAACAAATAACCCAATCCTAAAGTGGGCGGAAGACTCGGGTAAACTTTCAACCCACGGGACATTTGAACAGCGACTTAGATCATGAGTAAATGCTCCTCCACATTAGCTGTCAGAAATGGTAAATCAAAACCAGAATGAGATACAGTTTCACTCCCCCTAGGATGGCTGAGATTTTTATGAGCCAGTAAACAACAATTATTGGCAAGCATGTGGGAAAACCGGAACCCTTACTTGTTACTGGTGGGAATGCAAGATTGTTTTTGCCACTGTGGAAAACTGTGCAGTGGTTTTCCCAACATGAAAAATGGGACTGCCATACAAGCCAGTAAGTCTGTTTCCAGGTAAATACCCCAAAGACTTGAAAGCAGAATCTCAGAGACTTGTACACTAGTGCTCATGATAACACTATTTGCAGTAGCCAAAAGATGGAAACAGCCTAAATGCCTGTCCACAGATGAATGAATAAACAGATGTGGTACACACATACAATGGAATCCTCCTCAGCCAGTAGGAGAAATGAAGTCTTGATACATTCTGCAGTGTGGATGGAGCTGAAAGACTTTATGCTGAGTGACATAAGTCCATTACAAGATGACCTCACCTTTTACTAAGGGACAAGAAGAGGCAAACATACAAGGGGGTACCCCACCCCAAGAAACAGAATTGAACTTGGCAGGAGCAATGCTTTTGGTTTCATAGTACACATTTTTTTCCCTTTTGGGTGGGTTTCGGGCTTTTTTTTTGGTTAGTGCACCCAGTGGCAGCACCTGGGAAGTTTCTCTCTGGTCACAGTGAATTTATTCATAAAAGGCTCAAACCTCATTTTTGTGATGGCCGATTGAAGAGAACAGCATGTGGCTGTGAAATTTTGTTTCCTGTTCTGGAAAAATGCCACAGAAACTTGTGATGTTGAACACCACTCACGAGGACAGTGCTGTGAGGAAAACCCATGTGTGAGTGGTTTTCTCATTCCAAAAGAGGCGAAGTGGCGACGATGACTAACCTCATTCTGGATGCCCGCCAACTTCCCAAATGGACAAAAATGTTGACTTGTACTGTATTTGGAGTTCAGCCCACCAGGTCAGACTGTTCATGAAACTTTCTATTTAGAGGTTCTGAAAAGATTGTGTAACAGTGTGTGACAAAAAGGCCTGATTTGTGACAGATGGGGGACTGATTTTGCCACCACGACAATGCACCTGCACACACAGCCATCTCAGTGCACCAGTTTTTGGCAAAAAACAGCATGGTTCTCTTACCCCATGCACCTGACTCACCTGACTTCTTTTCATTTCTGCAAATGAAGAGGGACCTGAAAGGATGATGATTTGACAACATTCAAGAGGTGAAGAAACAAATGAGAGAGGTGCTGTCAGCCATCCAAGCAGATGAGTTTGAAAAATGTTTCCAAGGATGGAATTTGACAAATGTATTAAGTGTAATGGAGAGTACTTTGAAGGTGATAAGGTTGTTTTCCAAAATTTAAACACATAACTTTGAAAAAAATTCCAGTTTGGGTGGTGGGGGGCACCCCTTCATACATACATCAAAGGTAATTAGTGGCCAGCAAGTCTTGGAAGGAGAGAGGAAAGAAAGGATAACTGTATTCATTAAGGGTACAGGTGCACAGCCAATTATTGTAAATCCTAGTAATAAGTTGTACTTCTGCAAAAACTTGAACTAGTGTAAGCTATGTGATGGATATGTTTAGAACCCACACACAGAAAGGTGTACCTGTTAAGGCTACTTATGTACAGTCAAACACAACATGGGATTTGGTTTCTCAGTTGGGAGATTTAGGGTCATGGTGTCTTGAGACATCCCAGTTAATTGGCCTAATAACATGTTTAGTACTTCCAGATTGTCTTATAGTTCATTGTACAGTATAGTGCCTGGGGTCTATAAGCTTATAAGCAGCCATCCAAAGCATAGTATGTGGCCTCCAGGCCCCTGGGTCAGCAGAGAAAGGAGTCTCAGCAGGAGGATATGGGATGTGTGGTGCATGGCCTCCCGGAGCAGCTGCCCCTTTTACCATGAGACCAGAAGAACTGGATGGTGCCCAGCTACCAATACTGAACATTTTTGTCAAAGAATTCTCACCCACGGGAGAAATGCAGAACAGAATTTCTAATTCTATGAGATCAAGACTCTCTGGAGCCATAGAGGGTGGATAAACCCCCAAAACGAGTGCCCTGCGATAAACTTTAAACATTTAAACAAAAAATATGTCCAGAAGTCTTAAATCCAAACAAATGCTTCCCTTACCTAGGAAAAAGGTATTTGCAATAAGCAGTATGCTCTGTTAAGAGCCATCTGTTAGGATCCCATTGACAAGAATGAGGGCAGAGTGGAATGTGAATAGAGGAGGAACCGCGAAGAAAAGGGGCTGAGAAGGTTAGCACAACTCTAAGCAGGTCAGCAACTTCATTGTCGTTGTCCATGTCGACACCGTGGAATTGTCCACTTTGCTTTGTATATTCTCAATCATAACAGATCATAAAACTTTGTGGGAAGGGAAATCAGGTTGCTAGGCCTTTTTTTCTGAGGTCCCAGTGACAGATTTGAACTGTCACCCTTCCATTCACCAGCCCAGCACGTTCATGGTTTGCACGACCCCAGGAGCTTCAGCCAGAGCATGGACAAGGCTGTGAGGAAGGAGGGTTAGAGAGTTTATGTGATGGGTGGGCTCAGAACTTTGTGGACCACCCTTTTCTTCTTCCACTCAGGAACATCATAGTGTTTCACAGGAGCTAGTCAGAAGGGAGAGGTGAGCTAGGCAAAGTCTCCTGACGGGAAACCTCATCCAGCCCATGGAGATGGAATTTCTGAGGGCCAAAGTGTAATTGCTCTTCCCTGAGTGAGCAGTAATTTCTCCATTCGAGGGGGTGCTTGGCCGGGGTGAAGGAGAGTTCAGACATCAGGGGAAAGGCAAATAAATTGCCCCCCCAAGGAGCGCCCCTTCCAAGTCACGGGGTTACCTTGTGGGTGATTAAATGACCCCAGTGGCTTAATTGATCTGCATAATTGCCCAACCCGTTCTTCCGTTTATAATGTGGAGGCACATTTTGTGCAGACTCAAATGCCCTGGGTTTTCAACCCATCCAAAGCCCTGCATAATTTTGAACAAAACATAAATCAGCCTTTATATATTTCACCCCGTAGAAGCAGCGGATGCCACATCCAGCCCTGGAGAATTCGTGATCACATAATTAGATCTCCCAAGCTAGTCCCACACAGCTCTGTTGGGGGGAAGAAGTCCTGATTCACAGATGGAGTGAGTTTTGTTTGTTTTGTGAAATTATTTAACACACCCAGGAAATGCTGTTAAGATTTATGAGTGCATTATATATTCAAGGCATATTTGGGTGTAGAGACGTGTGTGTATGTGTGTGTGTGTGTGTGTGTGTGTGTGTTTCTGTTACTGGAACCATGAATGCCACGGATTTTGGAGGGAGAAATAACGGCAGGGTAGTATGTGATGTTTTCTCAGGCACAGTGGTGCACGTAGGACTGCATGTGAGTTACATCGTGTTAGAAGGAACACAGAAGTAATGCCTGGGGCCATGACCTGTGTCTCCCCGTGTTATGAGCCACTCCCAGGTTACAAATTATAATGCCCATGGTGTCAGACATTCCCTCCTTTCATTCGCCTTGCCTGTAGTGCGTAAGAAGGTGATTCTTCAAAGTGGCTGGCACTTAATGGTTAAAGATGCCCTCAAGTCACCCTCATGGTGGCCCCACGTGTCCCATCGTAGACTGTGCCCCTGGGTGCTTTCCTTGGTTTGGTTTGGTTTTCAGTTTAAAACACAAATTTATTATCCAGGTAGCCGGTGCTGAAGAGGATCTCTCACAGATAAAATGTATGGAGGAACTGCATTCCTTCCCAAGGTTCTGATAGCTAAATCCCTTCCTGGTCTTTTCCAGTGTGGGGAGGGCACCCTTCCTCCATGGTCAAAACCAGCAACACTAGGCTAGACTTTTAAATGTGTGTGGTCTTTAAGAATCAGTCACCAGGCCTCTCTTCTGAGATGCCTCTGGGTGGATTTGAACCATCAGCCTCTTGGTTAGTAGCCTGGTGTTTAACTGGGTATCATTGACATACTCTGGGGTGTCTATATATATATCATATATACATATATATGTATATCAATGACATACATAATTGGGGTTTCTTGAGACTTTTATGAGACTTCTTGACTGAGTTTCTTTTCTGGGAATCTTAGCAAGGGTGTCTTAAGGAATGCGGGTCCCCTGGTTCGTTACAGCGGAGAAAACGGCATGGGAGGCCTTCCGTGCGTACATGGTCAGGGCACACCCCTGCCCCCCAGGACTCGGGCTTTGGAAGGCTAGGATTATATTTGAGTGTTACTCAGCCTCAGGGCCTGCATCTCTGAAGTAGGGGGTTCATGACTGCAGCAGGGTCTGGAGAAGCTTCCGCTAGAGCCTGCCCGCGACCCCCGCAAAGAATGAGCCCGAGAAGAGAAGCTGCGTCCACCTGGGGTTGCTGGTCACGGGCTCACTGTTTGTTCCTGTTTTGTCTCCTGTTTGGTCTGCGTTCCAGCTGCCCACTCCTCAGCCCAGGCTCAGGACCGACCAACTGCCACAGTGTCGCCCTTGCGCACCCAGAATTCTCCATCCCGCCTGCCAGCTGCCAGCCTCAGGCCCCACTCCGTGGTGTCCCCGCAGCATGTGCACCAGCCTCCGATCCAGATGGTCGTGGGGGCCCAGTGTCCCCGGCCCATCATCCCCCTCACATCAGCAGCGTCAGCCATCACACCCCCAAATGTCAGCGCAGCCAACCTCAACGGGGAGGTCGGAGGGGGGCCCATCAGTGGCCTGTTGACATCCAGTCCCACCAACACAGGATGTAAAGCGGAAGAGAAGAAAAATGAAAAGGTAGGTGCCAATGTCCCTGTAGGTATTCAAGCCCTGCGGCGGTGGCACGCTGGTGGTTCTAGAGCTCCTATCCACAGATGCACCAGGTGTGTGGCAGAGAAGGGCCCCGCCAGCCAACAGCTCCTCCTTGGAGGGGAATTCAGGGAGGCCAGTTTCTCTACCAAACCCAAGACCAAACTCACCACCATCGTGTTGATGCCGACTCATAGCAATCCCGTAGGCCAGGGTGGAACTGCCCCTGTGGGTTTCTTATGGGAGTAGAAAGCCCTTATGGGAGTCATTCTTTATGGGAGTAGAAAGCCCAGGCTTTCTCCCAAGGAGCAGCGGGTGGTTTCCAACTTCACACCTGGCAGTTAGGAGCTCAAAAAGGAACCACAACACCACCAGCATTCCTGTCTGTTTCTCTACAGGGCCACCAGGGGGTGGGGGGAAGATCTCCCTTCCGCCAGATGCTTGAGTTCCATCTTTTGGAAAATCGCTGTAATATATATCCAGTTTGCTAACAACAAGGTTCTAATGTCCACATACCAGGATATTGTTAGGATGAATATGCAAATGTGTGGGGGGCCCAGAAAGGTCATGGAGAGAATCCATTATCTTTTCATTTGGCTTTTCCTCAGACTTTTTGAAACCTGTGGAATCAACACACACACATACACACACACACACACACACACACACACACAAATGTTCATGAGAGTTCATGTTTACTGTTTTACAGTTAAGTCTGTGAAATCCAATGTGTTCTTGACACATGTACACATCTCAAATCAGACCAGGGTCCTGTCAGTACTGCCTGTGGCCGCCATGTTGGACAGCATCCATCTAGATCTTCCGCTTCGGGCCGCTGTTTGCTGGCCTGGCTGGGTGAACCGTTTGGGTACTGTTATCCTTATCGCTGCTAACCAAAGGGCTAGAACTTCCTGTCCACCAGGAAGAAATATCTGATGACCTACTGCCCAAACTCCAGCCGTTGAAACCCAAGTGCAGCTCCGCTCTACTCCAGTGCACTGGGACTACCAGGCGTGGGAATTAGTACCTGCTTATTTGTTTATCCTTATCTGTAGTCTATAGATCTTTGAAAACATTTTCATCTAAAAATCACTCTTTTGATGAGGGGCTGTTACTCACCATTGAGATGAGTACCCTCTATAAGAAGCAATGTCTTTAGGGTGAGGACAGCCCTCTGCTCGTCCCAAGTCCTGGCAAGGGGACAACACCAGCACTGATTCCTCACATCATCTTCCCAGGGGTCCCTCGAGGCAGACCCACCTGGCTCCTCACCTTTGTCCTTAGCGGAAGCCCAGGTAGATCCCAGAGATGTGTCCAAGCCAGACAACCAGGGGCCTTTGTCTGGGGCTTGGCTTGACTCTTACGTCTCATCACGTCCTAGCTACTCTGTCTGGTCCAGAGGACTTGTCGCTCCTGGAGTTGACTGGGTGGAAAGAGGATGCCATGTGGTGACTATGGCTGCATGCTGCTCTTGATTCCACCTCCTGGAGACCAACGCGTTGTGTGGGCAGGAAGCGAAAGGGCTGTTCCCTCTTGAATCTGGCCCCTTCCACTCTTCAGTCCTTGCTCTAAGAGAGGGCTGCATCTCAGGCAGCAGAGGTGGAGCTTACGATCCTCTGCTCTGACTCAGACCATCCTTCCCAGAAGACGAGCACTCACGAGCCTTCCAAGCAGCTGAGCAAAAAAACACAACAAAACAAACTGGGAACCAGACTTGTAAATGGTGGAGGCCATCAGTATTTATATAAACATTCCTAGTTCTTTCCTTCCTCACCCAAAAAAAAATCCTTTTGTCTAGTTTATTAAACAGATAGGAATGGTTACATAGGACTCTCTAGTGAATGGGATTTCAGGCTTTTAGGAATCGTTATCAAGCGAGAGATCGTTTGCCGTGTTGCCCTCTTAAGTGTGTAGCTAATGAGAACCAGGCTGGCGATCTGCTTTGAACATTCCCAGGCTCTTAGACACTTAGCAAATAGTTTGCTTTCACCCAAGGGTTACCCTGTGCTAGCCCCCCTCATGCATCAGCAAAGAGCAGTTAAGTCCAACAGACGCCCAGTGGGTCCCTGTTGCTTAAGTGCAACGTGGAAGGAAGCCCTTGTTCTCAGTTGGAATGTAGCAAACTTGGCAACTTAGCATCCTTCTCAAGAGGCAGGAGTGCTCCCTCCGGCAGTCCCGTGAGCTGGCCCCTCGTAGCAGAAGTGCATAGGGCATGCACCCGCCTGATACACAGCCAAGCTCTGGGTTGGACACACACTGTACATGTTAGTCTGGGTTGACTAGAGAAACAAATTCATTGACACTCATGTGTGTAAGAGAGAACTTTGTTTCAAAGAGCAATTAAATATTGATAAAACATCCCATCCCAGTCTAGATCAAGTCCATAAGTCCAATATTAACCCATATGTCCGATACCAATCTATAAAACCTATAAAGACTCATGCAGCATATGAAAATCACAGGCCACTGGGTGAAAAGTCTTGTGGATCCAGTGGTGGTCGAAGCATTTCAGCAGTGGTGTGGGTCTCCACGTGGCTCCTCCACGTGGCTCCTCCACGTGGCTCCTCCACGTGAACCTCCATGTGTCTTCACTACAGGAATGTCTCACAGGGAGTGGGTGTGTGCCCCGCCTCTAATGAGCTATTTATCTCCTTAGCACTTACAAATGAGGTCATCAAGCTGTAACCTGATTGACAGGCTCAACTCCATCCCTTCACTCTTTTAAGTCTCAAATTGACAACAGATTATGTAACTACTACACTGTACCAGCATGGGGAGGAGGTCCGACTCTTCCAAGTAGCCAATAGAAATGACCATCCTGAGAACGGGAGTGCATATTAATAGTCATAACAATGCCCTGGGCTCCCACAGAGAAGTACATCTGCAGTGCGGTGGTTTTCATTTCTCACTTCATCCACAAAAGAGGGAGAAAAAAACCAACCATCGGTTGGAGAAACCACCTGTGAATGTTTTTATCACCCGAGTCCCCAGTTGAGTTTTCCCCAATTTACAGCACAGTTTAAGTGTCTGCAGCACTTGCCATTTTTAGCCCAAGAGCCAAGACACTGGGGGTTGCATTCCTGGCCCTGAGATTCAGAGGCGCGTGAGTGATCAGAGCGGCACTGCGGGCATCGCTGTGCCTGTTGCTCTGTCCGCAGGGGCCGGGGCAGGGGCCACTCACTCTCAGAGCTGCCAGCCCCTGCTCCCATAAGGGAACAGGCTTTACCAACTTCACAAACACCTAGCTGTCCGCTTGTAGTCTATTTCTGGGTAGCCCCGTCTCAGATGGGCACGTGTCTAATTATGGCGAGAGTATTTCTTCTTTAAGACTTGGCAGGATTCTCCGGGCTGTGTCTGTCATTGAATCTTACTCAGGGAAAGGCAGCGAGCTCTCTCTCCAGCTCTGCTGTCCGCTGAGACCCAAACCTCGGTGTGCCGTGGGCTTGCGTCGTGCCGAGCTCTGCTGAAATCGGATCCAGGCGTTTCTAAATAGGCGAGTGAGAGAGAGAGAGAGCAGGCAGTGATTAATGGGGATCCTGGGTAGGGGCAGGTGGGCGTAATTGTCTTCCAGAAGCATGGGAGATTTGTGCTCAGACACCCTCTGGATGTGGAGATGGAAGATGTCCCAAGCCTAGTTCATGTTGCACCTATTCCTGCTGGGGTGCTGGGAGGCTGGTGCTCTGCTCCTGGTGAGCCCTTGGTGATTGGACACCAGCCCTGCTTGCCTGAGTATAAGGCTCCTGAATGGTACGAACAGTTTATACCTAAAGGTTGCCAGCGAACACCTCCCCAGTGGTACCGCGGAAGAAAGGCCTGGTGATCTGCCTGCGTAAAGGAAGAGGCTATAGGGAAGTCCCACTCTGAAACACCTGAGGTCTCCATGAGTCAGGACTGAGTGGACGGCAATGCGATTGATTGGGTTTGGGCTGACCGTGGAGTAGGAGCCTTTGGGGAGGATGCCAGTGCTGATGGGATATAGACTCTTTCTCTCCCTTGAGTCCTGAACTGGATTCCAGGGGGGCATCTGCTGGATTCTGGGTCTCTGCCCAAGTGTGCAGGGATGTACACTTCTGACACAGTCCCCACCCACCCCAGTCACATCTGCTCCCCTCAGGGGCTGCCTTTGTGACCAGACCAACATGATGCCGCATGCCCCCTGGAAGCTGTATGCTTCCTCGGAGTCTGGTGGAGGGAGCGGTGCAAGCATTGATCAAAGGACGTTTAGCTGTTCTCCGTCCCTTCTCAGACCCACTGCTGCCTTTCCTGTTCGGGCCCCACCTTGGGAGAGCACTTCTGCTCGCCTCCTTTCTGGGTGATGATCCAGCTGCTTAGTTAGCTTTGTTAGCTTTCCCACGGGGGAGCTGACCCTCCTCTGAAATCCCTGCAGCCACTGTTTTTCACACTACTCGTTATAACACATTCCGGGGTCACAAAGCCCACGCAGGGGATCCGGAGCACTAGTTCTTCTCAAATAAGAGAGGGCGATACAAGGAAGCGGGATGGAATACAGCAGCATGTACAGTGCACAGTAGAGATAAGCATGTATCTACTGGGGAGACGTTTGTGGCTGAGCCCCAAATTAGACATGCCTCTTCCTATGGGCCATTGCACGATGGGGGACAGCCCCTAAGGGCATCTCGCTCATTTCCTGAAACTAGAAACATCCTCATATTTGCAGACAGCATGAGCTGGAAAAACGGCTGCCAGTACATTTTCACTCCCGGGACTTAAGGTATATTCTTCATACCTTAAAATTCAAAAGGTGAAAAGAACGCGAACTTTCAGTTCACAGATGAGCTAGGTAAAGCTTCGTAGACTAGTACACAGGTGCCCAAACGTATTTATGCTACCGCCCCCTTTTCAGGAAGGAGAAAATTTTAAAAAGGCCCTGTGGCCCCCTGGTAACTAAAAACATGTGTACTGTAGTCCTGAACCAGGATAAAGTGTCGGGGTCTGCTTTGCCCCCACAAGATATGGCCACTGTGGGA